ACCACTACACCACTGTGGCTCTTCCAGCACAGCCAAAGCCAATTTGTGGGCAGGCAGAAGAAATCCACCCAAGCCCCTAATCCCCCCAGACGGATTAAGAATTGGGATCGAGGCCAAAAGGATCCCATATAAAAAGCAGAGAAAGGGAGGACAAGATGGAGAGGGGAAAGTAGGCTGGGAAACACGAGGGGACAATTCCACTCATCCCTCATTTTGAGCTTAGCCGAGGACACCCTCTTTGTGGGTGACTTTGGGTGCAGGGTTGTCCTACCTCGCAGGGTTGTTGCGAGCGCCGAAGAAAGAAGCCAGTTCTCAGGAGGAAAGACGAGCAAGGGAGAGAGAAAAAGATTTAACTGACGATTAGTGTTCCTGGTAGTTAACCAAAAATACCGCAGTTGCCTCTGGCACTCTGGGGGGTTGCAGACTGCCAGAAATAGTGCAAATTTAGTCCACTTTTAGGGTTAGGGTTAGGGCTAGGGAATCATGGGAAGTGTAGTTTATTGTGGCACCAGAGCTCTCTGACAGAGAAGGCACAATGTCCCAGAAAAAAAAACAATTCCCATGATTCCCTAGCACTAACCCTAACCCTAAAAGTGGACTCAGTTTGCACTGTTTCTGGCAGTCTGCAACCCCCCTCTGTAAACCTGATTCAGCTCAAATACTGAGAATATTTAAGGATCCTGGGCGAGCGAATCCGATTTGAGAACCTATGATTTTAGTTCTCACCCCTCTTTGCTTCTTCGGAGTTAGGAATCGCGGCCAGAAATTTGGAGCAAAGGCTGGAAGGACTTTGAACCCTCAGAGTAACGGGCAATTGAGGAAGTAACTTAGGGGCTTGGTCTTTTTTTAAGGTGTTTGGGGCATATAGGGACAGAAACTGAAAGGCACCCAGATATTTCACTTTAACTGTGCTGCTGATAGAAGCGGGAAGATTGTTGTTGTTGTGCGCCTCCAAGTCGTTTCCGACTTATGGCGACCCTAAGGTCTTCCTCTGAGGCTGAGAGAGTGTGACTTGCCCACCCAGCGGGATTCGAACCCTCCACGGGGTTTTCTTGGCATGTTTCTTCAGAAGGGGTTTGCCCTGGCCATCCTCTGAAGCTGAGAGAGTGTGACTTGCCCAAGGTCACCCAGTGGGTTTATATGGTTGAGCTAGGATTAGAACCCTGAGCTCCAGAGTCATAGTCCAACGCTAAAACCATGACACCCCACTGGCTCTCAGATAGATTGATAGATCTATCTATCTATCCATCTAATTTTATTTTATTTTATTTTATTGAGAATATCTTGAATAAGAAGATCTATCAATCTATCTGTCTAGATAGATAGATAAATTGATAGCTCTCCTGTTCTCATCCAAGATATTCTAAAAAAAAAAAAATAAGAATAAGAATAAGAATTTATTATGTGGTCAGAGACCCATCAAGATAGATAGATGATAGGTAGGTAGGTAGGTAGGTAGATAGATAGATCGGACCTTATTCAATATATTCTTTTAAAAATAACATTAGATAGACAGATAGATAGATAGATAGACAGACAGACAGACAGATAGATAGATCTCCTGTCGTCATTCAATGTATTCTCAAAAATAAATTAGATGGATGATAGATAGGTAATAGATAGAAATCTCCTATCCTCATTCAAGATATTCTCAAAATAAATTAGATGGATGAGAGAGAGAGAGAGAGAGAGATCTCCTGTCCTCATTCAAGATATTCTCAAAAAGATATAGATAATAGATTTTTATTTTTATTTTCAGAATATCTTGAACTAGGACAGGATTTTAAGAAGGGGGATCACGAAGAGGGGGGCACACACACACACCCCAAGAACCCCAACTGTAAGGCAAGATGTATTGATTTCAGGATTGGTTACTTTCGAGGAAGCACAGCCTGCCCCAGGGACCTGGGGAAAATGATGGACCCTTTTACACGGAAACCAAAGCGCTTCGGATTCCCTCTGGGGGAATAGCTCTGGTAGGAATCGATTGGGAAGCATTCCCTCGTCGCAAACCCTTTGGGCCCATTGGCGGCGTAGATGAACCCCCTCTTTCCTTCCAAAAGGGGGGGGGGTCCCCCTCTCAAAAGTGTCCTAACTTCACATCTCATCCCAGATACACACGATCTGGACCTGGGACCAAGTGGGGCGTCTTCCCAGCCCAAGACACCCCTCGACCTGCAAGGAGAGCCAAGGAATAATTTTAGGAATAACCCTAATCCTGGAATGCCACTCTCCCCTCCTTCAACCCCCCCCCCC